GTTCTACAATAAAACCGATTATAAGTTTTTGAAAAATTCAATTGCCATTTGTTTCTATTTCATTAGTTCAATATTTTTCAAATAAATTAATATTTAAATTAAATAAAAATTATAAAAATAATATATTAGAGATCTAATGTATTTCTTGCGATTGGGTATTGGGGATGCTCTAGTTATCCAAATCCAGTTCAGAGACCTTTGTATTCTTTTGTGAGGTAACATGTATTATCCCTTCTTAGCCATAACAAACAAACAAAAACGTTACTATCTTATCACTCTCGTCTCGCATTATGTGGTCTCTGACAGGTTTAGATAGATTTTGTATTCTTTTTTTTCCTAAGAGATGGAATAGAATAATCTGGTTCAAGCTTAATGATCATATATACGACTGTAATGCATTGTATTTCCCAATTATATGTGTTTTATGTGTATTTTTGTAAGTTGTTACCGAACAAATGAAAATGAAAAAAGGTCACGACTCACTACGACACTCAATTTTTTTTTCTTTTGTAAAACGGCCTGATTTGCCCAACAAGTTTTACGATTAAATGGGCTGGATCCAAAAGATTTACCCACTAACATTTAGTTTTTATTTACGTATATTTTCCGAAATGTTTTTTTTTTCCGAAATATTTTTTTTATTACTAAAAGGTAAATATTTTATTAAAAATCAATACGTTTTAGGTTTCCAACCGAAACTATAAACCTATATAAACGAATCCATGGCAAAAAAAGATAAAAACATTGATGCATAATTCATGACATTTTTAGTCCATCTACTAAATATAAACACAAAGGTAAATAGAGCAAGATGAAGTGATGATGATATTGTTGTTCATCACCAAGCCGATGCTCGAGATGAAGTTGCATAAGCTAGACGCAAAGGCCGATACTACCAAAATGCATAGCACTAGAAGCCTATAGAATATCTAAAAGAATTGTAAAAATAGTAGAGAAATATCAATTTCCACGTGTTAGATTTGATCTCCACCATCTATTTTGAAAATGAACGTATTGTATATAAGGGCTGATATTTTTGTAAAAATCCAAGTATTTTTCAAAAAAATCAAATATCAACCTTTCCTAATATTTATCTCTTTAATTTTGTGAGGGTTCTCTCTCTAAATACCAAAAATTCGATTCAAACTTAAGCTGATATGACAATCGCGAATGATGAAAATGTATGAAAACTGCGCATACTGATTTAAGAGGACGTAGTCTTTGACATGGTACAAATTGCAAAAAAAAACACACGGGAACAAGAGTTTGAGCTGGTCTTCTTTCAAAAACACCCGAAAAAGAAAGGAAAAATTTGCCAAAAATACCACAAAAAATTATAATTTGAAAACTAACAAAAAATCATAAATCCAATGACTTACAATTTGCCACACTGAATAAAACAAAAATAAGATAGAACACGTCGCTTTATTAAAGTCAAATATCAAACCGACTTTAAATTTGTTAAAAGAACGGAATTTAACATCGATTACTAAACGGACGTGATTATTAATGGCAATATTTGTTTTTCTCTTTATCTTGGAATGTTAATTGCTAATGGTAAGCCCATTAAACAAAAGCCCATGAACCGAATAAGTTTTTCTTCTCAAAATTGTACGAGAACATTCCCAAATTCATCGATTTGATCTGGAAATCGAAATTGCTCTGCAATTTTTTCAATCTTCAGAACTTTCAAAGCAATCTCAGAATCGGAAGCTTATCGTCTTTTTGTTTGAAAGCGATCTCAGAATCTGAAGCATTTTCCCTTCCATTACTCGACATCGAAGGTTCGTAAAGCATCTTCCACCAATACTTTGAGAAATTTACTGTGTTTTTTTGTGAATCTAACAACAGAAAATTCTCGGCTGTTAGGCTTGGGCCTTTGAAGAGCTTTGGTAATGAAAATCATTGAGTATTAACTTGGTCCGCGA